CAATTACACAGACAGAAATACTCATTCAATGTTGACAATAATAGAAATAAAAAGAGATGAAAAACTGGAAGAGAAAATATCCTAAATAACACATCCAACTATGCATCAGGTTAATAATTAAGTATATAATGATTAGGAAAATTGTGTTAAATATATGCAAAATATATAACGTTAAGCAAAAAAGCAGAGTAGATTATTGTATGTTTCATTAAGTAACTAAATAACTACAAAGAGTTTTTAAAAGTCTGAAAGAAAATACAGCTGTATTACAGGAGGGAGATTTAGAGTGATTTATTAATCTTTCACATTGCTTTGATGTTCCACAGTGCTAAAAAAGATTAGTTATATAGCCCTACCCAATATTTGTCTTGGAAATGCAGAAATAAACAAGAGCATTATGATCTTTTTTTAGGCCTGTAGTCTTCAATGAATTTAACAACTCCTTTGAATATAAACAGAGTCTACCAATTTGCTAATTTCTAATGGAAATGAACTGTTCTATGAATATTATCAATTAACCATCAGCCATCCACTTGTGGAAATAGCACACCTTTGTCCCATAATCAGAAAGATTTACCTTTGGAAAATCTGCTTGATAGTTTTGATGTGATCCTCTCTCAGTGCTGCCTCGGAGTTCTTTTCCCATCTATGTACATTCAGTATGTTATCAGATCAACTTTAGATTAAAGTAATATGTACTTAGTAAAGTCAGCTTTTACATCCTCTACCTAAGTATCAGATATCTTAAAAAGTATAGAATATATATCCTTTAGATCATTTGTATTGTTTGTTCTGTAACAAGATGGTTAACTGAACCTGAGTCAAGGTATATAGTAGTATACTATTATGTCTCAGATTTTATTAAACTAGTAAATTCCTTTTAATGAAATGCAAAGAACTAAGAAAACCATGTAAAATTTAAGACTGCGCAATAGAACAAACATTAAATTAGAACACATGTTAATTTAGCCTACAAAATTATATCCATGTCGTCAATTTTATGTGATCATTGCCTTTCCAGATATGTAGGTCTCTTGTCATTCTTATTTGTAATGCCTGTAGTCTAAAATTTTCCTTTTTCCTAAGGAGTACATCTGAATAGCTGGGAATAAGCCATTTGAGGAGGATTGGAACTATATTACACAGTGAAAGGGATTCTGATCTAAAGATTATATTATTCTTAAAATAAGTTGAAAAAATTTTTAAATAATTACTTCTAAAACAATTGGGAGAGGTCTCTTATTTCCTCCTAACAACAAAAAATTTAGTTATTAAGAATATAAGGTTAGAGATAAGACAGTCTTGCTGTAGAAATTAAGATCTATCATATCGTTCTAGGCCTGGATGAGTTGCATAACTTTGGTTTCATTAAAAATGAAATAATGTAAGCTTCAGCTCATATTATTTGTAAATATGGAATGATTCAGTCATATAAATAGTAGGATATGGTAAGCCATAGAGACTGGGTTCAAATCTTGGCACCACTATCTCTGACTCAGATAATGACCTTGGAGATGATTCTGAGCTATTCTATACTTTCATTATTCCGTTTCTTCATTTATAAAATGAGGGAAATAATTGATTTATATCTCATTGAATTTTTTGAGAAATTAGGTAATTCGTGTAAAGGTTTACTAATTGTTAGCATTATCTGGTTCCTGCTAAGCATCACATACATATTAGCTATTTTGAGCTAGTTTACTGGTCACAGTTAGGGACAGCTTAATTTACTCAGCTATACCAAAAAGGGCTGAAATCAAACAGCTTTCCTGGAATCAGATCTCACCTTCAGAGTTCCTTATCTGCTATTGCTTGTGTGGATGACTCCCTGTGACCTTCTCATCTTTGAGCCTAGCTAAATTCTTCTGATATCAATTTTAATTGATATCCATTAACTTGACCTCTTGCATAGGAGGTCAGTGATTTAATCTACTGATATTTTTAGTCTTTACCATGTTTTGTTCTTTAATCTCTCCCAGATTTTTCATGGTTAGGAAGCCTCTCAATAAAAATGACACATAATTTACATTGTGTAGAGCTTCACCATATTTACCAATCATTTCTCTACTAATGAGAAGGGCAGTCTTTTTCTTTAAGATTCAGATTTGCAATAAAAGTTTTATTATTATTTGATGGATAAGTTCATGAATTTATATACACACTTCTTACAGTAATGATGAAAATGTAAAATTATAAAGAAACAGAACATGATAATTAACATTTTGGAGGTTATCTGTGAAGGTTAAAAAACAATTTTATTGCATTGCAGTTTTACAAATTACAAAATATAGTTTCAATGAAATTAAACGACAAAATCAAATGGGACAGAGATGAACTTTGGATCCATGTTTTCTAACTTGGGCATATCAATCTGTAATGTTCAGGTTTGGTCTGGGTCCTTGGACATCTCTGTTCTTATGAGACAAGCATAGTGGTCAAGCGTGAGGCCCAGTAAAATATGTGTGTAACTGATTCTTGAATTTGTGGGTCTGTAGAGTTGCTCAAGATTCTAGGTGCACTTGGGAATTTGAATTAAGTTTCACAAGAGGGAAAACAAAGAAAATAAATAAATTATTGATAGAAAACACATGTCTCATTTATATAACACTTTGCAGTTTATAAATCACTTTCTCAGCTATTATCACAATTGACTGTTTCTTCACATAGTTATTAAAGTCACATTATTTAGTAGTCAAAACATTTCAAAACACTTGAAGGCAGCTAGTGTGATTGCCATGTAATGTGGTGGAAAGACATTTATTAATGCACATTATATGCCATTATTCTGTTCACAGAAGAGAGAAAGCAGAAACTGCTTGAAGTCAGAGCCTTAGATTAGAGCAAATAAAACGAGAAAAATGCTTTTTTCCCCCCTTCTTTGAACACAAACCCACTCAATCTTTTTCTGATATTTTTAATGTTTGGGATGTGGGATAGTCAAGTAGAAATTGGCAAGGAGAGGAGAAGAATATGAAAAGAGGATAGGTGAGAAGCAAGAAGTTACACTCAGAGTAGTTGGTTCACTTTCTGAAGATGAGTGTTGAGAAGACAAAAGTTCATTACTCTTTTCCCATTTCAGTCTGCAGTTTCCTGCAATTCATAAGAGCATGCTGACAATGATTCTTTATTTTGTGACCCCAATGCTTGACCTTTATCACATGACCATCACAGCCCTTGGCCTAGAGAATGTCAATTAGTATTATTCTGGGCAGATGGAAACTGTACTAACTCCTTTCTCATACCATCAGTGTGGACAGGAACTTAAATGTCACCTGCCTCTAACACACACACACACACACACACACACACACACACACACACACACACCACCCCCCCACCCCCACCCCAGCTTTTCTCCTTTCTTGTTTCTTTCTTCTTTCTTGATCTCTGCCCCACAATTATTTTTTTCCTGTATTCTATGATCTAAACTAAAGGTAACGTTTAGTTGGAGTACATGACATTAAGCATAATTTGTTTATCATTGACATCCTCACTCAACTGTACCGGTTTTAATATTTCACATTACTGCATTTGATCCTCATTTTCAAATATATAGGTTATTACTATTACCATTTTATCTTTATTAATATTTTTTATTATATTTTACATGAGTTGTATGGTGGTGTATTTAGTGAATTGTCTGAGATCATCAAGCTAATAATTGATACAACTGGAAGTATTAAGACCATGGCAACTAAGAAAAAAAAAATCAGACTAAGATTTCCTTTCATTAAGCTTAGCAGCCAGAAAAAAGGGGGCGGGGAGGGAAGCGTCTCTGTGTCAGTGGAAAACTGGACTATAAAATGTTGTTGTAGCTTGTTCCAATGGCAGAGCTACCCAGCTAATACCCAGAATTATGAATTGTGTTGTTACTGGTAAAAAGCCTGACTCTAATCTAGAGATTAGCAAGAGTTTTGTAGTTTAGGTGACTATGAGGAGAAGCTATCATCTGTGATTTTAACACCTTTTGGTTATATGAAAAGGCTATAAAAATGCAATAAATACAATGTATTAAACTCATTTTAAATGAACATAAATTTTAATATACTTTACAAAAATGACAGGTTATTATAAAAATATTGAACATTACCAAATTTATAACATAGTAAGAGTCTTCTCATTTTCTCTCACCTAATTTTAGTCCACAAAGGTAGCTATGGTTATCAGTTGAATGAATATCTTTCTAGACATTTTCTATGCCTGTATTAATACATACATGTATGGGATCATAGTAAACTTACTAACATGCAAACTTGTTTTTTTCATTTATACTATGAGTATTTTTTTCATATATACACATATATATTGGCCTCATCCTCTTTAATTATTGCATTCTTCTCACTGTATTATATAATATAATATATTCATTTAATCAATCTGCTATTGCTGAATATTTAAGTTATCTAGCTTTTGCTGCTATTACAAAAACTATTACAGTGAACGTCCTTGCATAACAAATTACTTGAATCTTGTGCATTTATCTGTGGATAAATTCGGATAAGTTGAAATGCTCATCTCAAGGTAATCACTAACATTTTAAATGTGTCTATGGATCATTAAAATGCCACTTTGGGGTTTAATCTGTGAAGATGGAACACACATGAAAAATGGTACTTTTACAATAAAAGTAATTTCTTTACCATTGCAGGCAGACCAAATTTGCACCAGAATGGTTTGGTACAAAGTTCCATGTACTTAACAATCTTGATTATTCTCTTTGTGATACTGATAGTAAAACTGTGTGTCAAACCAGGCCATGTATATTTTAAAGTTTTAATGTATGGAACTGTCCAAGAAGTGATCATTAAGTGTGGCAGCTAGAGTCTCTCCACCCTGGGCAAGGTCCTAGAGTCTTGGATCTCTGCTCCTTTGTGAAGCGGTTGAAAATCATGGTATCTATTTAATCTTTTTCATAGCCTTGCACTATGAATAGTTGAATTTTTTTTCTAGGAAGTTACCCATTGACCTCATTCCTTTTTTTTTTTTTTTGCCTCTTTCAGGGCTGGGTGGGGACTGTATGGTATTGACAGTATGCCAGATCTCCGCAGGAAAAAAACTTTGCCTATTGTACGAGATGTGGTAAGTCATTCCTGTTAAATTCTCTTTGATTGCATGTCTTGTCTTTGTCTTTATTAGAGGTCATGTTATCCTTCTCATTAACTACCTGGCATATAAGTATTTCATAGACTAGAACATATAAGAAACCAGAGTCTACCAAGTGTTATGTTTATTATTTCTTTAAAATCTATTAGATGGAGAAAATAACTCTAACCTTTTGACAGCTTTCAATATTAGTTCACATTACAAAAGGAGTTAAAATGACCCTATAATTGAGCAAAGGAAGTTACACAGCATGCCAAGTGAGCTGCTGCAACTGAACTTTGATGTGCGTGGTGTTGTGAATGACTACAAATTTAATTTGCAGTTTAAGGCTTTATTTGAACTTTTTTCACCTTAACGCAGCAGACTTTAACACTTTATAAAGCAAGCAGATCATATTAATGAATTTTTTGCTATGTTAAGATCAAGTCTAGCTGTACCACTATTTAAAGAAAGGCATGGCTCCCAGGTCATTATAATCTTTATTAGCCCTAAACACAACTCTGAATAACTCAAACTCTCCTATGACAAAATACACTGGGGAGCATCTAGAGATGCAAAGAATTAATAATGGTCTGTATTAGATTATAAAAACACATAGTCCATCAGCATGAAAAAGAGGGTTTTCTACCACCAAAAATGTCTTCACAGTTTTTTGGAAACATATTCTTAATTGTCTATGACATGAGAATATATTTTTCCTCAGAGAAACCCAAATTTTTTGGTAGCAGTAGTTTTTTAATTACGCTGTGAAAAACCTTCATTGCAAAGCCATCACTTTAGTTTTAAATTAAGAAAGATAAAATCTTGCCTGGAAATATCTTACACTGGAAAGCATGAAATGTCTGTTTAATTAGCTCATACTCCTGCCATTATAGTATGGACATTATTTTTAAAGTGTTAGACTTATTTAACATCATTATACTATTTTCTCACCTTCTTATGTCTATTTACACTTTGTTTTCTCTGACACTTGGAATCTTCAGGCCATGGTAAGTGATTTTCTATTTAACTAATATTTGCCAGTCTCCTCAATGTACCCTGCACTTATTCATGGGATAAAGCAGGGCAAGACGGGGAGATAAAAACACAGAGATGTACAAGAATAATAAATTTGGGTTCCCCAAGAATTTAAAATCTAGTTAAATTATGAAAGAAAAACAAAGTTATGTATACAAGTGCAAATACAAACTAAAATAGGATTAAAACGTAATTTTAGTGACAGTAGTTGTCAGATGGAAGATGATCTTGGGTGAATCCTTGGAGGTAAGCCTTCTCTAGGTTTACATGGTAGGGTGGAGATGGGTGAAGAGTGACTTCCCACTTAGGATTGTGCTAAACATCTGGCTGCATGGCTTTGAAGCTACAAAGAGGTATATTTATGACCAGATGCATTATTCCACTATGATTTCCCTAATGGGAGAGCAGATTTGAAATTCCCATATAGAATTTCTGATTTCCAAAGTTCTCCATAACACTGTCAAGTTTGATATTGCATATGTTTTGGGTAGCAGCCATATAATGGTTCTATTTTACAGGAAAATCTAAAGGGACTTATCTAAAATAGCTGAAGGTATCAGCATTGAGTGAAGAAAAAAATGTGGGTGTAATGATTCTCTGTTGATAAAATGGGCCCTTGGAAGAAAATATACGGTCTAGATATGGAAGATTATTCCAGAGAACTGAGAACAACTCAAAAACCATCTAGCACCAATTGTGACTCAGGGCTATCACACACATCAACTGTTTCTGTACCAATGGTTATGTTTTATTAAGAAATGTAATCATGACCATCTTGGGGAAAAAAATTCTAGAAGTCTCTTCTAGCCTGGAAACCATGGCTGGTCACCCTATCTTGATGGACCTTGGTTTTCTCATCTGTAAAATATAAGGGTTGAGTTTGATGATCTAACGGGCCTCTTTCAGCTTTAATGTTCTATGATTCCACATTCTGGATGAATTGGCTGACTGCTGAAAATAGCAAGTCTCCCTATTGTCTAAAACATGAGCAATGGTAGTCTTTATTCTTACATTTTCACATTCTGCTCAGCAAACGCTTCTTGTAACAATAACTTATCATTCTGTTTATTTTAGACCCTGGCTGCCCGGAAATCTGGACTCTCCCTGGCTATGGTGATTAGGACGTCACTAAACAATGAGGAACTGGTAAGTAAAGAGTCAGTGACTAACTATGTATCCATCGTAGTCCAGTGGGAAAATCATTCTGCTTGATCCACTCATTTATAATGCTCCTTCCAATATTCCAGGAATAACGGAGCGTGGGAGGAGTCTGACCCTAAAAAAATTTTCTCTGGGCCTCAAATTATCCTCTGCTGCTCAAATATACATGCACTTTCTCATCTTTAGAAATGCTATTCCTCTTAACACAGTTTAGATTTATTCTCCCCTTTGCCCCCCAAAAAGAATCCTGCTAAATTTTTAAATAGTTGAAATTTTGCCTCTTTTATGAGGCTTTCCTAGACATTTGCCTCCCCTTCTAGCTGAATTATTTTTCTCTTTTGGGTTTTCTAGCATTTAATCACAACCTCCACAGTGTATTATTGTGAGGACTGAGGGCTGCTTGGGGTGAGACGCATCTGTATCACTAAATTGTCATTATTGTATTCTGGCAAGTTATGTAACTTCTCTAAACCTGAGTTTTCTCATCTATATAGTGAGGTAATAATAAGAGGATTAAGGGTGTGGATACATGTTTGACACCCAGCATAACCTAGGGTATAGTTAACAATATACACAAGCTACTGTTATTATTTTTGTTATTATAGCAAATTTTATTATTTTGCATAAAACTTTCTTTTTAGACTGATATCCCTGAGGGCAGCATTATATTCTGTTTGTTGTTTTGTTAAATATTATTAAGTATTTTCATTTCTATTGCTTAGAACACCGTCTGTCAGGTAGAAGCTTTGTAAATTCTTGTTGAATGAAAGAACCAATTGGAAGTTACAAGCAGGCTACAAATATCTAGGTCAGGGATTCTTAAATTTAGCTCATCAGAATCACCTAGGGGAACTTTAAAACATACCCATGCCTGGGTCTCATTCCCATTGATTCTGATTTAAGTGTCTTCAAGTGTAGGCTAAGTAGAAGGGGTTTTTAAAACTCTCAGGCAATTCTAATGTGCAGTGGGTGTTGTGCCATGTAACTCCATCCTCTGGGGACACTCTGCTAGGTATTTCACTCAAGACGATTAATCTATGTCCTTTTTTCCTGGAAATTAATATACTCCTTTCAATTTTAGTGACATAGTCATTCTTATAGAATAAATTTTTTACTAAAAATATACTTGTCAATTTCTGTACCTTTGACATTTAAACACCATTATGTACATTTATATTTCTCATTCTCTTCTTTCTGTCATTGTCATCTTCCAAAAGCCAACATTTTCTAGGTCTTTATCAGCTCCCCCGGCCCTATTATACTACATATTCATTTGAATATCTGGGTGCTACAGTAAGTTAAAACATTTTTGATTGTGCACAGGATTAAAACATGTAACTACTTTCCCAGGGTCATAAGATGCCATGTAATCTTTTGCACATAGTTTGGATTCAAGATAAAGTCAACATTCTTTGGTGTATGAGAAAGCCCCATATTGCTTGCTGAATCTTGAAGTATCTAGTCTTTTGCTTTTGAGGAAATAATCAAGGTCAAGAATTTCTATTAATACATTCCTACACTATTCCTTTCTTATATTTTAAAGTATGGTAATTGGTCTGAAGCACAAGTGCTCATTGCTATGCAATAGAAATTAAAGGAATGTTACTAGATTTTTCTGAGGCTCTGACAGGGAGCATACCCTCACTTTATGGTTAAATTAACTATTGATCTACTTTTTGTCAACTTGATATCATTTTACTTCTTTGGTTCAGAAGGTCTCAGATTTTTCTGCATGTGTTGGGTGGATAAATAGTATCCATCAGCTCCCTCTCAAACTCCGAAAGCCCATTTCCCTTGGGCCATGTCTCAAAAAGTAAATGAAATGTGACTTTTGTACAACAAGCATATTAAATGTCAGTCTTGACAAGCTGTCACATTAAGTGGTTACATGGGCAACTAACATGAATGCTGAAGTGAATAATTTCCATTTCTCGGTACTAAAAGTCTTCCTATGTGAGAGCATGAAATGTTTGCCTTTACATAAAGGAAATCATCTTGGCCATGTAGAAAATATCAAATGATAGCACTTCTATTATAATTAAAGAGATGTATGGTTAAAAGTTCAGCCATCTCTTCCAAAGAAGAAACGGGCTCTAAAGTCTTATGCAAGATGACAATGGGTCGTCGCACTCCGTTGGCAGTGAGAGAAGCACTGCAGAGTGCCCTCTCCATCACCAATTCCAACTCACCCACGAGGAGCTATTGGAGCTGACTGGGAATCTCGGTTTAATGAGTCCCTAAGGACTATGGTCTCTGAACATTTCCATCTGACTTAACACAAGAAAGAATACCAGTCCGGTATCCATACACCACAACAGTAGTCTGCCTGGCACTATATTGCCCAGATTTCAGAGTGATGGTTTTCTAGGTATGGACCCAACAGTGGGACAAAGTAGATTCATTCAATAATTAAACAAATATTAATTGACTGCTATGTGTCAAGCATTGTTCCAGATTCTGGAATAAAGGCAATGAACAACTCAGCTAAAAATCCCTGCTGTTATAAGGTTTTAATATAGTGCGAAGGGAGCTGATACAACGTTTGGTACCCACTATTGCTACAGGTTATAACGGAAGCTTCTAGCAGGCAGAATATTTAAGGGAGGCTCAGGTGAGTGTTATGGGAAACTCAAATGGAGAATCCAACTCACCAAGCCTAAAAGGGATGCTACAACCCTGTTTTTTTCTATCTGGGTCAATGACCATGTTTAGGAGACTAGTCTAATGGCATGCTTCCAGGGTTTGTCAGTTCTCAGTAAAGGCTGGTTTATCTAGGAGAGTGTGATTCCTTCTTTCGATAATAGGTTTCAGGACTGATAATAGGGGCTGATAAACACTAGGTGTGGGGAGTAATCAGGGGTCAGACTTGGGCCCTGTTCCTAGCATGACACTGAAGAGAGAATATGGAAGGAGGAAGCAGATCAGAACACCTGTCTGGTTCCTGGGGTTCAATCCAGGAGTCATAGGCTTACCTACACCAAGGTTCTCTGGACTCTTGCTCAGGAACAGAAACCCTTTCCAGACACATGAACGGGTGTTGAAGTGATATGGGCCAGAATTAGCATCTCGGCTGCACTTCTTACTACCTTTGAGAACTTGTTTCTTATCAGTACTCTTTGACTCCCTGAGACTTGTTCACCTCACCCTTAAAATGAAAGTAATAATACTTACTGTTTTTGAGAATAAAAACAATGTCTTATGAGGCAGAGCACATGGCAATCAGGGAAGTGGGGCAGGGACTTACATTGAGGTATTCAGAGTACATGCTAAGTTCAGTGCCTCCCTGTTGTCTTTGTAGCTGAGGGTCAGATTCCAGGAAGTACTGACATAAAAACCAGCAATAATGACATTGAATGTAAAGATTAACTTGTGTACAAGTATTGCTATTGGTCCTTCTTCAAGAGCATAGTCTTTGGCTTCTTTTAATATTCTTTTACATATTAAAATACTTTCCAACACTTCTCTAGTAGGTTATATTAACTTAGTCCTCATATTGCTAGATCAGTTTTTCAATATGTAAAGTGAATATACTAATATTTCTAGAACATGGTTGGGAGAATCAAATGAAATGGTAGATTTATATTCTCATTATTTATATATACATTTTCATTGAAGGTTTCAGTTGGAGAAAAACTGATACAGTACATGACAAATCTATCTTAAGTCATTTTCAGATCATGTTCTGTCATAATAGAGTACATATCCTATATTGTACTCTCCTTGATTTATTAAATAATCTACTTTGACATTGTTCTCCCTCTTTCTATTTGGACTCACCCACCAATTTCTTAGGTCAATGATAATGTCTGTTATAGAACAATACAAGTAAAAACAAATTACTTATAATTTTCCATGGATAGGCACATAACTTTTAGTCTCTGTATTTTCTGTAACCAAAAAAAAAAAAAAAAAATTACCTGAGTAATTTTAGCTTCTTTAGTCAATTTTATGTGATGATTATTCTGATGAATAAATTAATTCTGAAATTATGTCTATCTTTATATTCAGGAACTTATCCTATTGTTGTTCTGTCTTTATATTTATAGCAAATTTCAAAAGTCACATTGTACCTAATCATTGCTCTGCAAATATTTCGGGTGACTCTGTCAAGAAATAGCAAAATGATACCTACAAGACAGCAAATAGATTTTTATTTCTAAAAAGCATCAAGTACACAAAAAATGCTTCAAAAAAAAAAGCATATTTTTTCTAGCAATTATCAAAATGTGATTTTTTTCAAGTATAGGAAAGGAGTGGTTTTCATAACCCCATGAGGGAAAACCACAGGATAAAGAGGAAAATAGAACTTCATTAGTAAAGTCACTGGTTAGCATAGTAGGGGAAAAAGAGAAAAGATATATGGCAAATAGATGCAGACAAGCTTTGTTCCCGTTCTATGTACTAACAGTTGGTAGATTGGAATATTGATGGTCTAAAAACACTAGTCACTGCTCTTGGCAGGAAGCCTGATTGTTTTATTTCTCAGGCTCGTTTTAATTTTCTCATATAGAAAAGGCAATTTGTTTCCTTCCCGTGTCCTAATTGTTCAAAAAGTGATATATTAGAGCAACTCACCTTAAATTCCAGTTTCTTGGAGCAGGAGTTTTTAACGAAATATTTGTCTAAACCATGAGCATCCTCCTCTTTGAAGTCTATAAGTTGTACTTGGGTACAAAGGCTTATCAGAGTCAAAGCATTCCTTCTCCTCATTTCTGCAGATTAAAACAGTGTCTACACACAACAAAAATTGCCTCATTTTCTGAAATCACTTCACTAATGCAAAAATAACTTTCACTGGTTCTTTCCTAATTGCAAAAGTCTTTCATCATGTCTATAAATAGGGGAAAAAAGTACTGGAAAAGCATGAATCAGACCATTCCTAACTTAATTATTGAAAAATTGAAAACTTTTTACCTTTTCAATTTTGTACCTTTTGTACCTTTTGTATTTTATAAATTATTTTTACAATGTGCATGCATTTTATTACAAAATACATTTTAGAAAATGATGTTTGTTGTAGATTTGAAAAGTTTAGAAACATTTAAAATAGATTAGCAGCAAGTCTCCTAAATTGCTGATTCTACTTTGTGCTTCAGCCCCAGTAATTACAGCTCTGCCTGTTCTTGAGATCACCCTCTCCGTGTGTTTGGTTTGCCTTGGCCAGAGACCCATTCACTTCAGCTAGGATACTATTGCTGTACCTACTTATCTTTCTGCCCGCTTTAAATGCTACATTAAAAAGACAATTTTACTCCTCCCCTTTAATCCAACTACTAACAGACGTCCATTTCCTGAGTACATGGCTGATTTTAGTGTTTCCTCTTGTTTTCTTCTGCCTCGCTTTCATTCAGTGCCTCTTACCCTATCGTTTTTGTCTTATTCCACAAAATCCCAAACTCTCTGTCCTTTCTAGAATCTTGATATAGTTTTATTTTGCTGCTAAGAAAGCATCTTCTTTCTCCTAAGATGCAATATTCTCCTGATAGGTAAGAAACCCCTTTTATGAGATCTATTTTTACATGATTTCCTTAGCTATCCATTTAATGAATTTCTAAACTGACTATCATTCCATCTTATGCTTTGTTGGACTAAGAAATGTTTCATATGCCATTTATTTTAATTTTCAACATGCCCATATTCCAAAAATTAGAATGAGAAAGACTCATTTTCATTTCCCTGAGACAGTGGATATATACCCTCTAACAAATTATCCAGTGTTTTCGTCTAGCTTCTATAGCTCTTAAGTGTTGGCATTTTTTAATGCCCCATTCAGTTGATTTTCATGCGCTGTCTAGTAAATTTTCCATGTTTCTTTTTTTTTTTTAATTACCTTTCCTTTCTCTTTTCATGACAGGGATCATGGCTCCTTAACCAAACCAAACATTTCAAGAAAATCTTCTCAGATGTCTATTTAGAACTTGATTATTTGTTTTCTTCTAGCATGTTTACTTTTTCAGCAAGTGTTCCTTATATGTATTACTTCTAGTATAGCCTACAGATTTAGAGGACCAAAAATACATTACTTGAATTCAATTTTTAAAAAAGCGGATATAGGAGATTAGATAAAATGTATCAATCATTTACTTAATCTTAAAATATAAATTCATGTTTAAAAATAACTCCTTGCTCAACTCTCCTTTCTAAGTTAACTTGTATTTCTTTTCTGTGTTCATTTCCACCATCTTTCACTGAGTTAAAATTACTATTTTTCTTCTTAAACAAACAACAAATCACCTTATTCGATTGCAAATATAATGAAATTCCTTCATTTTTTTAGACATCACACACACACACACACCACACCACACCCTCAACCCAGCTAGAATAGGAAACTATGAACAGCTCACAAAAAAGATGTTATACCAAAAATTATTCAATTCATGCTAATGACATCGAAGATACCCACTTTGCTAGGCAATAAAGGGGAAACAAAGATAAATAATGCATGCTCCTAATTCTAACAGAACTCTTCACAGTTCTTTGCGAGACATCTTTATTATTAAATGAACCCAAGAGATTCATTTGGCACAAGCTATCTTTGAAAAGTAGGGGATTCAGTTATTCTGTCTATATAAACCCCTCATACGGGGTCTCCCACTTGAGTTATTCCTGTATTTGACCCTACTGCTGCTCTGTAGACCCCCTTGAAGCACAAAGAGTTTTTACCAGACCCTCATGTAGTGACAAGGCTTGGATCTTGCTGTTCAAAGTAAGAAAATTTTTAGTAAAGCTTCCCTAGCAGAGAATCTCCCAGTACCATTACCAAACATATTCTGGGAAAACACATAATGAGGAAATTGTACTAATCAAGGGAACTATGCTGTTACCATAATGTGGAATGAAAAAATAATAGAAAATTGGCCATTTCATTTCTGTAGGAAGATAATTTAAAGTGAGTTTCAAGGATGATTAATGCAAAATATAAATGCTTTCCTTCTGGTGTTACTTATCAGCTAGGCTCTTACAGATTTATGTAAATATCCATTTTGTATGCATCAGGCAGTATATGAAATTATCTGTAAATGTAACTTTAGAGAGTGCTAGTCTTTCAGGAAGTTGCCTGCACAGTAGGATATGAGAAGCCTAGAGAAGGACTCATCCAAACAAGTCTCTTTTTCTATTGACTTACAGTTCTTGATTGAAAATACATTATCATTATTAATATTTACTATTGAGTGTTTTGAAATCTATGGAATATGTTTGTTAGTCATATAATTTGATAGGCAGGGTAGAGCAGAAAAGTGAAGAATAGAGACCTTTAATCTCTGTAGATTATAAGACTCTTAAATGGCAGAACATTTATTTCTTTCATGAGAAAAATATGTTGTTCCCCTACTATGTGCCAGGGACAATGATAAGCACTGTTTAGGCACTAAGAAGAGAAACATGGACAGTTCTTGCCTAAAGAAGCCCATTTTAAATATCACGTGATCGAGCCTGTGCTAGAGAACTCAGATATCCCAGCTATTTGTTCAGTGGATTTTTCTACCCCATGAATGGCTTGTTAGAAAGTCTTTCCACATGCTATTAAAAATTATCTCTTTTTAAGATATAAATCACCACAGGAGAGTGCCACATTTAACCTTTATCTATTATGATTGCTTTCTGTTGAATTAGTTACTGTGCTCTTTCCTAAAGGATAAGCAATGAAAGCAGTTTCCTGCAGAAAGAATCATAAAAGAAGCATGTTTTGGGGCTGAGGTGTAAAGTGTCAGGAAGGGTACAGAATGAGGAGAGAAAGACCTGGGTAGGATATAAAAGAGGGTTGAAGTTGTTTCTAGAGGTTTAGGGTCAGCATTGAGAATACTTTCCATTTACTTTACAATTTTGCCAAGAACCAACTTAGACTAAAGATAGAAATATAATTTTTTTTTTTAATTAATGTTTTCTGAGCACTTATCTCAAGCCAGAGACTAGGTTAAGCTCTGAGGATTGTTGTAGCTTTGAGCAAGATGTTCATCATTTTTCTCCTCATGGAGTTTACAGTATATCCAGGACATAGATATTGTCAAGTAATTAGAGCCCTATACTGCTATGAAAGAAGCTTGCTCTATAGCAGAGCCCAGTCCATTTTGGAAGATTAGGGAGTTCTTTATGTTCAGATAATTGAATTGGGCCCTAGAATACTGAGAGAAGAATAAATGAGCAGAGTTATATAGCATTTTCAGGGGAAAATGGTAAAATGTTTGTTTAATGTTGAAGTTCTCCAAATCCACTGACTTGGTTTGCATTGGCAACTTCTCTCTTCTTTACAGAAAATACATGTCTTCAAGAAGACCTTGCAGGCATTGATCTATCCCATGTCTTCCACCACCCCACACAATTTTGAGGTCTGGACAGCTACGACACCTACCTACTGTTACGAGTGTGAAGGGCTCCTGTGGGGCATTGCCCGGCAAGGCATGAAGTGTTTGGAGTGTGGAGTGAAGTGCCATGAAAAGTGTCAGGACCTCCTAAATGCTGACTGTTTGCAGAGTGAGTACATGGTTAGGCTGAAGAAGTAGGTATGCAGAGCCTGCCTTATCCTATGTATTTTCACGGTAGTCCTCTTCAGCGGTTGCTGGTTTTCAAAAAAAATCCTACCTTTCTCCTCCTCTTACTTACGCAAACACATAC